ACAGACTACACCCACGATCATAGCAGTGTTGGTCGGGTTGACAGCTGAAAAAAAATGACTTTAATGTATATATATGACTTCGTTAGTTAGTGGTCCATACATACTGCAGACGAAGGTGTTTCTCCACCGTCTTGAGGTGGTGTAGCCTAGTGGTTTAGGCGTAACACTGAAGATCCGGGTTCGATTCCCCACATGTTGACAACGTGTGACGCCTACTTCTGGTGTCTCCGCCGTGATGTTGCTGGAATATTGCTAAAAGCGGCCTAAAACTAGACTCATTCACTCAATTATTCATTCATTCCACAGCCACGATATATTTCTCCTTTAATCAACATTAACGTGCTTGCAACTGTTATATCTGACACTTTTGTACTGGAGAAAAGAAATAGAATATTCATTCACACAGTCGTGGAGGTCTTCTTTGTGGAAACTTTTAAACAGACTTATACCTCTCTTACTCAGAAGTATCAAGAATGATCTGCTTTTAACTGAAATTTCTTGTGATGGTGGAATGGGTTTTGGCACTTTTATCAACAAGGCCTGATTGTTGAAACCTTGAGTGTAAAGATTAACTGTAAGGAAAACATGGCTTTTAATTTATAGAGAACAACAATCACATCATGGTGAGTGAGTATGGTTTTACACCGCTTTTAACATTATTCCACGACATGAACACTGACATGGGCACATTCACACGTTGTACTCATGTGGGGAAGTGAACTCGGTTCTTCGGCGTGACGAGCAAACGCTTTAACCGCTAGGCCACCTTACCACTTCAAGTGCAACAGAACACCAGCATTGTTGAAACACTAAATATCAAAGACGCCTGAGTATTGTATAGTCTGTGAAGTATGATTTGGAGAAAACTACGCAACCAACCTTTGGTATTTGCGATATGACGGCTCCTATACAGGACAACAATGTTTAAATTGCTATGCAATTACACACGTGGGTTATTTTAACAAGAAATGAAAAGAAAGGCGAACTGGTAAATGTATTGATTAAAGACTTATATTCACCTTGACAGAGACTCGAACTATTTGTAGTCCACGTCTTTTCAGTCCCATTCGGCGTAGAGGTCTCTGGACGATCATATCAGACGACAAGTTTTCAATGAATGTGTAGAGAATTGATACAAGCATGGTAATATAAACTCTGTCAAAAAAGAAACGCAACCCCTGTATTTTAGAGATTTTGATCTGAAGTTTTAAGACGACACAGCATTTTTATTATTTAAGACAGAAGTCTGAAATTTGGCAGAATAATAACCAAGATGGGCATGTTTAAAATTGTCATTTCAAAAGTCATCTCACAGACACCAGTTTGTCACCAGGGGGGCGTCTTTCTCAGTATCTCGTATGAGCACCACGAGCTGCAATCACTGCACGGCATCTCCTTGGACAAGAACGGATAAGACGCCGGATTCTTTCCTGGGGAATGGCTCTCCACTCCTCCTGCAGTGCAACGCCGAGCTGTTGCAGCGTCTGTGGCGGCGGCTGACGTTGACGTACGCGTCGACCCAGAGTATCCCACAGGTGTTCAATAGGGTTGAGGTCTGGTGATTTAGAGGGCTATGGCAAGACATTGACGTTGGAATTCTGCAGAAAGTTCATTGTTGCACGTGCAGTATGAGGCCGGGCGTTGTCTGGTTGAAAAATCTGTGTCTGTTGGTCAATAATCGGGAGAAGGTGAGGCTGTAATACGTGGTTGATGTAACGTTGGGCTGTCAGGTTCCCTTCAACGATCACCAAGTCTGATTTCTGGTTGTATGAGATGGATCCCCAAACCATAACGCTTTCTCCGCCAAATCTGTCCCCTGTCGGACGCAGATGGGCGCAAAACGTTCATGACGTCTCCTATACACACGTTTTCTTCCGTCGTGATGTTGCAAAGAAAACGGGATTCATCAGAAAACCAGATGCGCCTCCAGTTTGTAAAGTCCATATCCTTACGTTGTTGCACCACCTGAGTCGTCGGCGGAGATGTAGGGGCGTAGTACAGGTCCAACAACTGGTCTACAGGCACGTAAACCCGCTTCTTTCAGACGGTTCCTAATCGTTTGAGCTGACACTCTCCTCAAACCTGGTATTTGTGTGGCAGTCACGGTTGGTAGGGCATGCCGATTACGCAGGTGATGGACCCGGATGTACCGATCTTGAAGGGGTCGTGATTCTTGGCCTTCCACTTCTCGGGCGATCGTTGGTCAAATTGAAGTTGTTGTAGCGGCTCCAAAGTCGGGATATCGTTGTTTTGTGAACATTTAGGTGGCGTGCAACAGTTCCAAAACTTTCTCCGGCTTCGAACACGACCAATGGCGATATTTCGGTCGGCAGCACTCAATCGTGGCATTTTTAACACAGCTTTTCGGCGACAAATGAATGAATATAATACGAAAGCACATGGGCTTTTATACACCCCTACATTAACTGCCATTTTCATGATTTGCATGTGTTTTTTTTGTGCGAAGTCACCATGAGGGTCATTTCATGCGTTGTGACGGAATAAGCAATAAAATACACTTATGCGTACAAATGCAGTTGTTTGGATGGTAATCTTCATTAATTACGTGTATAATTTCAATACATTCGAATAAAATTTAGTTTGGAAGCAATAACTTCATTCAAACGAATTTTTCATATCTGAGGACAGGGGTTGCGTTTCTTTTTTGACAGAGTTTATAACAGTACGGACATTCAAACACACATATTAACGATCGACAGAGTGCTTGTTACATGTTATGTGTTTGCTTTTGGCTTCTAGTGTTTTGCACCCGTGAAGTTCCGGGTTGGAATTGATCTTCAGTAACCCTTGCTTGTCGTAAGATCCGACTAGCGGGATCAGGTGGTCAGGCTCGCTGACTTGGTTGACACATGTCATCGTATCCCAGTCGCGTAGACCGATGCCCATGCTGTTGATTACTGGATTGTCTGGTCCAGACTCGAATGCGTACGATGAGTTTGCTTGACGCAGCACACAGCATTATTCCAGTTATATTATAACATTATGAACAATGTGAGTGCTTGTCACATGGTTCTGGAAAGAATGTACTTGTTTTGCCTTCTTGTGTTTTGAGTGAGTGTAAGTATGGTTTTACGTCGCTTTTAGCAATATTCCAGCAATATCACGGCGGGGGACACCATAAATGGGCTTCACGCATTGTACCCACGTGGGGAATCGAACCCGGGTCTTCAGTGTGACGAGCGAACGCTTTAACCACTAGGCTAGCCCACCGCCCCTTCTTGTGTTTTGATCTACACTGTCATTGTAAAAAGTAACCAGGTAAAACATGTGTGATTGAATGTTCCATAATGCCGCATTCAGCAAAATGTTAGCTACGTCACGGCGTCTGTATCAGGCATCTGTAACGTTATCACAACGTCAACGTCGCGATGCGGTGATGCAGCACTGATCTTGACTACCAAACCTCTTTCTAGCGGACTCGTACGATGAGTTTGTTTGATGTTGTATTCAGCGTTATTCCAGCTATATGACGGAGGTATGTAAATCAGGGAGTTTGGTCGAAACAATCGAGTGATTGAAACCATCAGCATCGATCTACGCAACTGGGATACGGAGACATGCATCAATCAAATCATCGAGCCTGACACCCGATCCCGTTAGTTTTACAACAAGTACGGGTTGCTAAGATCAACTCTAATCCGAATCTTCGCATACGACTAGCCTAAAAACACACAAACACACACACGCGCGAGGGAGAGAGAGAGAGACACATACATATACACACACACACACATTTCTGTAGCTTAAACACAATAGAGCTGTATGTATGTACATGTATGTATGTATGTATGTATGTATGTATGTATGTATGTATGTATGTATGTATGTATGTATGTATGTGTCTCTCTCTCCCTCGTGTGTGTGTGTGTGTGTGTGTGTGTGTGTGTGTGTGTGTGTCTGTGTGTGTGTGTGTGTGTGTGTAAATAATTGTATATATCAGACAAACCTGTATCTGGATATGTGCTAAAACTGTATCCTCCATTGTACACGGTGTAAACATAGTATCCAAGGACAGCAAAGGTAGAGTTAGAACGGATGGTTGTTGTGTAGCTCCCACTTCTCAATGTCCCCACTTTGTATCTTGTACCTGACACATTCTTCCATGTCAACGGAAGGCTGAAGACTGTAGAGTGATTGTAATGGGCTTGTTGAACGTCCACATTGTTGTTTTCTTGGTCTGTCAATATCTGCACGGTACCTGGGGCTTCTAGTGTTGTGAACTTGGAATATAGACTTACCGGGGGCACTACAACTAGCCCATCAGAATAGTGATGCCTTCCAAAAGTACACAGAGTGGCCATAACTGGCCTTGTGGTGTTGAAGTAGAACGTTTCAGTATTTCCACATTGTGTACGGTACACTCCATCTTTACCCACTGATATGGAAGAACCGTTATTAAACATGATGCTTGTGTCACTGTGGCCAGTAACAACTTGAAGCTGGTATTGCAGGGCACTCACGTATGAGCGGTCATCGTAATACGGGTCCTGGATAGCGAGAATATACTCATGTCCATAATGTTTCACAGGCAGTAATTGCTCGAAAGTAGTGAAGAGTGTTCTGCTCACAACGTATGTTCCACTATAGACGGCTTTTGTCTCCTGGCATAAACAATGGTTCTGGTCATATCAGATGAACTGTTTAAGGAGATAGTCTGATACTTATCTAATCTAATACTGAGACTGTCCCCGTCGATGTATGTCCTGCGGTCATAGGTGACGTTGCCGTCCAGTCTGAAGATGACGTCAATATCCGCCTCCTTGCTGTGTGTGGCTATCACCAAGACGGACATGTACGACGTTGTGTCCCGGTGAATGTTGTCAGGAGTAGGAAGACAGGAAGACATGATGTACTTCGTGCCTAGCGCCGACACAGGGAGGGGAGAGAATGATGTGTGATCGTTCATTCTCCCTTCGATCTGAATAGCATCATCTCTGACATGAACAAGCACTACACTGGCAGTTGTATTAGGCGGGTAAAAGTAGTCTGTGTTGTAAGGGTTGAAGCGCCGAGACCAGACTCGCCCAGTGTGTGGATCCTGTACCTGCCACTGGCCTCCTGTCTCTCCAGCACTGGCGAGTATCCGAGGTCTACCTATATACTTCTGTTCGAAGAGCACCATCAAGTAACTTGGATCTATAAGACAAAGTATGTATGTCTTAACCACTAGTAAATTAGACACGAAGAACATGTCATTATCTTGTCTATGTGCCTGAGACTAACATCTAGTCTCTGAAATGAACATATTTTATAGTTCCTAAATTAGAATAAAAAATATCATGAAAAGGACTTGCCACATATTCTAGACTTGCATGGATTTTCTTGGATATATTTGTTTCGGGGTCTGTTTGATAGACGATATGTGCCTATAAGTAATTAATGAGTATTTCTAGCAGTAAAGCGTCAGCTAAAGCACGTGTATAGACAGTAGCCTACATTTTATGAGAAGGTTTTACAGTATTGTCAGGTGTTTTGCAAAGAAGATGAGGATTTATATAATGCTGTTATATGGAATAACAAAAGCATTTCATGTTACACAAATCCTCATGAATATTGAGTCGAAAAATGCAGGAATAATCCTTATAAGACAGTTAGTTGATGAACACGGCGCCCTTTTATCCCAATCTAACTTAAACCTCAAGTTTAACTTTTGTCTTCTAAAAGAGAATGAATATAAAAACATCATAAATGCTATTAAGAGATTTGTAGGGGAAAATGTTTACAACAATAACTCTCCCCAACCTACACAACCAGAGTACTCCTTAATTGGCAGCATTCCAGTTAATGAGACGCCAATAAAATCTAAATTTTGGCAAAATTTATTGCAACAGAAATTAGTTATGACATCACCCGGAGTTGCAAAACACAAATGACGACCTATTATGAGTTTACCGCTAGAAAATACATACAAACAACTCCATTTTAAAATGTTACACTCTATTGTTCCATGTAATGTTTACTTACATAAACTTAACATTAAGAATACTGCCAAGTGTGAGAAGTGTGATTTCACTGATACTGTTAATCATTACACGTGTTATTGTTCATCAGTCATACCTTTTTGGTTACAGTTTATCGATTGGCAACAGCATAATTTTTGTAGACATTTCAAACCACAAAGTTACAGAGAGAATGTTTTGCTTGGATGTCAGGAAACAGATTCTTTAGATGAAGCTAATATTATAAGTCTTGATTATGCCTTTACAGTAGCAACATTTTATGTTTACCAATGCAATGTGTCAAATACTATTCCAACACTCAATGCTTGTAAAAGGGAATTTATCAAGTAATAAATCGTAGTTCTAATAAATATAGAATTATTATTTTGATCACTTTTGACTTTATGTCACAGTAAAACATTGATAAGCTTGTATTCGATGTATGTAGCATGAAGCTATGTCTGAAAACGACCACGGTGTCCTGGCCACGAGGCATATGTAGGTCGACATATAACAACCGTGGTCTCATATATGTATTATTAAAGAGTGAGAGAAAAACAACAACAACAAAACAAAACAAAAACACAGTAGCCAAAGAAAACCCCGTACAGTTCTATTCACAAAAAGGACTAAATAAGTCAAACATTTCACACCAAAGAAACCCCTGTACAGTTCTATTTACAAAAAGGACTAAATAAGTCAAACATTTCACACCAAAGAAACCCCCGCACAGTTCTATTTACAAAAAGGACTAAAAAAGTCAAACATTTCACACCAAAGAAACCCCCATACAGTTCTATTTACAAAAAGGACTAAATAAGTCAAACATTTCGCACCAAAGAAACCCCCGTACAGTTCTATTTACAAAAAGTACTGAAAAAGTCAAACATTTCACACCAAAGAAACCCCCGTACAGTTCTATTTTACAAAAGGACGAAATAAGTCAAACATTTCACACCAAAGAAACCCCGTACAGTTCTATTTACAAAAGGACTAAAAAAGTCAAACATTTAAAGTCACATTTCACAAAGAAACCCCCGTACAGTTCTATTTACAAAAAGGACTAAATAAGTCAAACATTTCACACCAAAGAAACCCCCATACAGTTCTATTTACAAAAAGGACTAAATAAGTCAAACATTTCACACCAAAGAAACCCCCGTAAAGTTCTATTTACAAAAAGGACTAAAAAAGTCAAACATTTCACACCAAAGAAACCCCCATACAGTTCTATTTACAAAAAGGCCTAAATAAGTAAAACATTTCACACCAAAGAAACAGTCCTATATTTAGCCGAGCCTGATCTATTCTTCACTTGCCTTCTGTGAATAGTATCATCTTGTGTTTGGTTGGCAAAACGATTATTCCCACACATACATGTATATGTAAATGAGTGATTGAGATAATTATAATATGACTGTATCTTGTAATAATGATCATTTGTATAGGGAGAGGCAGGGTATGAAGACCTCCTCAGTTTATTTAGCAAACTGTGCCTCTCTTGGAAGACTAGGTATATGACGATTTTTTAATTTTATTATTATAAGGCCAGTGTAATGATTAGAACTATCACATACCTTTAAGATTTACTGGTTCCTCTACAGGCAGATTGTAGCCGCTGTTATAGACCGATCCGTTATAGAAGGACAGAACTGTGAAGGGGAAGTCGCTGGATATGAATGTAGAATGTATACGTCGTGACTGTAACTGTAACAGTGTGCCAACTTTGTATCTGCTTCCTTCTATACCCCTCCATGTCATAAGGCTGTTGACCTTTTTGCCCTTAATCAACACAATGGCTTTCTTGTCAGTTAGTATCTTTAGTGTTATTCTGAGATCTTCACCAAACAGGCAGACTCCTCTGTGAGTGACGTACGAGTGTACAGGTGGTACGGTTGTGAAGGCACTGCTGTAACCATCTGCTCGACTGAGTGTCACCAGTACCGGGCTTGTGGCGGTGAAGTGAAGACTCTCTCCCCGTTCAAGTGAGCGGTTATAGAGACGACGCTCGCCAGTAGAGACTGTGGCTCCAGAACTGAAGGTGATCTGCACGTGGCTGTGTTCACTGATGATCTGCAGCTCCAGTTTGCTGTGATCTACAGCAACAACATACTCCTGTCCATAGTGTTTGACCGGCAGTAGTTGGTCATACACCGTGTACTTGGAGGCATATTCAATACCACTATAGACGGCTATGCTGTGTTGACTGTCAATGACCGCTCCATTAAGATCATATGGAGTAGATATCATGAACGTTTGATACGGATTAAGTTTAAGGGATAATACATCCCCGTCAATGTAGTGGTAATTGGCAAAGCTGATACTTCCTCTGTTCATTCGGAGGAATATATCAACAGTAGTGCTGATGTTGTATGTAGCTATTAGTAACAAGGATTGATAATCATTGTCAGTTGCGAGACTTGAAGGTAAAATGTACTTGGTCCCAAGGGCAGATATAGGAAGTGGAGAGAATATACCGTCAGCATCTACCACGATGTTTATGTCTTCGTCACTTCCGCTCACAACGACAGCCTTATTTTCTAAACTGCTCGTGATTTTATTTTCATTCCGTACCCTGGATGAGTCACAATCGAACTGACCCAGTACACTCCACGTTCTATAGACGAGGTGCGGATACTGTATCTCCACCAGGCCCCCAGTTTCTCCTGCTGTGGACCTGATGTGCGAGTCTTCACCCGTATAAGCCACGGCCACCAAGTAGTCTTCACCTGTAAAGACATTCAACGCGGTATTAATTCAATAGCTTATGATCAGAAACAGAGTCAAACACCCCTGTCAAAGTTCGACGTATACTTCGAGATATCAGAAGTTCGTCACAAGCACAAAATGATGACTAAATGTGGAATGCGTATAAACCAACTTCGAGACAACATCAAGAACGACACAAGGGTGTTTCCCTATCGATAGTAAATAACTTAAAGACGGGCGTTAACTTCCCAATAAACTTTTCATTCAGGAACGACATATACCAAGTTGACGGCAGTTAACGTATTGCATTGTTTGGAAGAGACATGCCCCATAATGAGGGAGTGTGTATGATTTTACTCCGCTTTTAGCAATATTCCACCAGAAATGGGCTTCACGCAGTGTGCTCATGTGGAGAATCGAACCCGGGTCTTCTGCATGGCAACCACACTACCCCACTGCCTACATGCCCCATATACACAACAATCTGAATACATGATCAGGGCGCACCGGGATTCGAACCCCCATCATAGGCTGCTTGGTACGTGGCCCGGGTCAGTGGGATAGCCTAGTGGTTAAAGCGTTCGCTCGTCACGCCGAGGACGGGTTCGATTCCCCACATGGGTACAATGTGTGAAGCCCATTTCTGGTGTCCCCCGCCGTGATGTTACAAGAATATTGCTAAAAGCGGCGTAAAACTAAACTCATTCTGAATACACGTGAAAGTATAGTACGTCTAGCCCAATCTGCCGGTAACCGACGTGCTCAAAGGTTGACGTTGAATGCTGTCACCAGAAGGAAGGGACCCAGTTCTATGCAATACGGTACTCAAGCAGAACAGATTTAGTAGGGTCCATACACATATAAAAATGTCTACCTTCTCACAAAGCTGATGCCTAACTTAACAAAATAGTTAATCAGTTATGTGTGAAGCGGCCAAAATATGTCCCTTTCCGTGACATTCAAACCACGCCCATTCTGATCCGAAGTCGCACACCTTGTGAATATGGTCAAACTTTACAGTGGGCATGTGTGCGATGGCTCGGCGCTACGCTTCAGAAAACGTTTTCATCTATATCACGGCTTATTTGTTCCACAGAGAACTAGCTGTGACATAGATGAAAAGGTGTTCTGTAGTGAGGCGGTTGTCAGTTCCATGTTAAAGGAAACCCGAGCAGATCGGGATTAGAATTGGTCTTCAGCTTATCGTAAGAGGCGACTAACGGGATCGGGTAGTCAGGCTCGCTGACTTGCTTGACACATGTCATCGTATCCCAATTGCGTAGACCATCTCGGATCTGGCGCTGTCGAAGTACGTCCGTAAACATACTTGTGCATCGGATCCCAATTGTACAGATCCTGATCATGCTGTTGATCACTGGATTGTCAGGTCCAGACTCGATTATTTACAGACCTCCGCCACATTGCTGGAATAATGCTGAGTGCGGCGTTAAACATCAAACATACAGAGGAGATGAAAATCGGCACTGATGCAGGTCCTAGTGAAGTACATCTGGGTTCCCACAACGGGTATGTACCGACAAACCCAGATACATTCGGGGGCAAGTCCTGAAGATGGATTTATGAATTTGTTATAAATGTTCGTAATATCTAAGAATGAATGAATTTTTATTGTCTTCTGTGAGCACATTCCCTATACCTTCTTTCAATCGTGTGTATGAAATGCTTAAGGTATTCATATCTATTCATATGTATTATCTTGCAAAGTTATTAAATGTTTTAAGTGCCATCATATTGGGATCACCAACCGAAAAATGAGTCTCATGAACCAAATCCGACAATGACCTACTTTCAGCCGATCCGAATTTTCTCGGGTGAAAGAGAACTTAGGTATCATAAACAATTATGATTACAAGAAATTCCAAATCCTTGTTTCATTACAAAAAAGGTATTTACAAATGAATTTCAATCTTAAACTTTAAAAAAATCGTATTTCTTTATTTTATGACGAGTTTTAGACAGCATGACGTTAATTGAGACGTCACAATCAGCCCCTATTTGATGAGGTCGTAAAATGATTTCCATTTGTTAGGGCACACTGTACGACAGAGCACGCTGCACGACGTGTTTGCAAGGATTAGAAGGAGCGTAGTGTTGCAATATACAAGTGACAAGATGTATCAAATAATACTTATTAATATTTATATATCCAGTTGAATAATTAGTCTCACAATTCTGGACTTAAGTTGCGCAACAGGACGGAACCCAGTCAGCAGGAAACGAGACTGTTGTGCAATCAATGTTTTGATCACACTCCGGCACAGCGATGACTAACATAACATCACTACTATGCTGGCTTGCCGCATGGAACTCTGGGTAGGAGAGTGTGCTTTGACTTGATTCGTTAGCATGTGGTTGCATATTGAATATAAAAACGCTTTACGCTGCTCTATATTCAAAGTTATCAAGCTCTCAAAATATATCATAATAATTCGAGGGTTAGAGCCAGAACCACTTATAACCACACAGGCACATTTCGAGAAACAGCACTCAAATGTTTGGACAGTTATAAAAAAAAATATAATCAATTCTTGTTTACTGTTTTGTGACTAGGTGACAGAGTATGCTGGTGCATTCATGCTACTATACAAACATAAATATAATCAGCCTAATTAAATAGGTATGACGAAAATAAACTTTAGCTTGTTCTGGCTTAAATGTAAAACACTCTGGGCTCTGTAAACATGAGAGCGAGAACCAGTTAAATTACAAACACAGTGTATGGCAGTTAAGAATATGTTGAGAATATGTTGAGAATATGTCTGTCCCCGAGTCAAGAATCCGGTTATCTTTAAACAGGGGATTGTGGCATAGTTTGCGGCTACGACTTCCCTGTGTCGCAGTTTCCCCTAACTCGGGGAGCATTATCTTTGCCCCAACAATTGTATCAATGCGGAAGCCAACTAAAAGCAATGACACCTGATCGCAAGATCACCCATATCATCACAGCCGCCAACCACTGTTTCCTTAAGCCCTGTAACCATATCCTGCGGTAAAGCTGCTCTCGGCAGTATCCCACACTCTCAGCTGGTGGCTGGAACCATTAACCAGCAGTAACTGCCTTTCTGTTATTGAATGCATTTTACTTATAGCTCGCTTTAAATTGTGCTTGTGAGATTTTACCTTCACATGTTGTTATCACTGAAGACATCAGTAATTGCTTAAACCACCTTCAAGACTTTCTTTTAGACTTTTCTGTTAGATGACAACAACGTCTCAATACTTTCAACATAGTTCCACAATGCATCATTACCGTGTACTTCTTTATTGAAGAATAAAACCAATTACTATAAGACATTGTAAGTGTTTCAGTATTTTAACTATTTCAATATGATATTACATGTAAACAGAAATTCATAAACAGTATAGTTTCAAATTATTGAATAGAAGAAATTCAAGCACAGTCACAAACATACACATAATTAGTCTCTCGTACAGACCCTGAAGCAATTATATCCAAGAAAGCCCATGCAAGTCTAGAAAATGTGGCAAGTCTAGATTTCCTCAGCTTGAAAATGAAGAAAGTCTCAGGGCTCCTTTTCATTATATATTTTTTTTTTTACTATGAACTTTTTTCAGTAAAATATGTTCATTTCAGAGACTAGTTGTTAGTCTAACACATAATATGCAACCACAGATAAGCCCATTGCATATTAAGTCAAATTAGGGATTAATGTAACGATCTGAGTAATAATTTAAGCCGCTTGGTATATAGAGTATCTTACCCGAGTGTCTTTTGATATCAAATATATCACCACGAGTTGATAAAGTAACAAATGTCCGAGGCTTGCCGATATTTTACTTTGATCAACGAGTGTTGATATATTTGATATCAGAAGACACGAGGGTGAGATTCTATGTATCATAAAGAATCACTCTTCCTTAGCTTTCAATGAAAAATGTACATCTCTGAACACAGTACTGCCATTGAACTCGCATTCTAGCACGACAATGTGTGATACTCGATTCTGATTGGCTGAGAGCTCATCAAAACCGTACTTAAATGACAGTTTAAGGACCGCTAATTAAAGTGACCGATTCACCGCGTATGAATACAACGAACAAGTTGACCCTATTGTTTGTAAACAAACATGTCGGACATCGGCAATTTCTATCTCGGCAGCATCTTTGGTGTTTTTGAAGTAAAAAGCGAATGGTTTGAAGAAGAATTTTTAAACCCTTATCCCATTGAAGAAACTACGAAGCTGGAAAATCCGTCAGCAGCGCAAAAAACGGCAGTATATTCAAATCGACTCCAGATCTACGTGTGGTAGACGTCGACAACACACGTCGGCCCACACATCCTAACCTGACCGCTTCCGTCCCGGCCGTAATGCCCAGTCTTCCACTCCCACTGTCCATGTATCCCACATAAAACGTGGCATGTCAGGTCTTTTCCAAATTGGGAATAGTAGGGTGGTTATCAACAATTATTTCCGTGAATAAAGTTAGCGGCGACTAAACTTAGCGAGTTCACGGCTTGCATTTGGGCGAGAAAAATCAAATAATTGTACTTGCTCACAGTATTAACTGTATACTTTTTTATTTAGGTATGCTACTTGTTACAAATACAAGCATACTGTTTCCTGAAATATAGCATTTATGTTGTTGAAAATGTCTTATTTTGTTCATTACACAACCTGTCCCTCAACCGGACGATTCCAAGCGATTTCCAGGAAAAAGGCCCCTTTGCGCCTTGTGTTCTTGCGCGCCAAACAGTTCGGTTTTTTAAAACGCTTATCAGTCGTGCTAGAATGAAGATAAAGCTACTCTGTTTCAATTTTACGGTCCTTTATCGTTGATTTAAGACCGCTAAATGTTTAATTTAAAACCTCACGCTAACGCGTTCGGTTTTAAATTACATTTAGCGGTCTTAAATCAACGATAAAGGACCGCAAAATTGAAAACAGAGTAGCTTTATCTTCTAAGTGCAGCGATGTCATAGCAATGTGACGTCATCAAGTTCATGACGTCATATCATTGTCAGGGCATTGTGCAAAATTTACTCTCAAAACGATATGTCCTAGAAGATATCGTCTGATCTCACACCAGCAATGTCTCCTGTGGAACACAGTTTTGGATGATAAAACTTAATAGAACTATGACACTAGACTATGACATAGATGAAGGCTAAAGACTTTTGATACTAAAAATTAAGTCTGTTATAAGTGAATCAAGATTACATCACACATATTAGATAGAACACTGAATAATCACATTAGGTACTTGATGACATAGATATGTCATGTTAGATATGTGACATGTTAGATATAATAATGAGTAGTATTTCCTTTCGTTAATGATTTGATGACGTCTCAAAATGTAAATGTCATTTCTTGAATTGAGAATTAATATTGATATCCACCTCTTAACACTATTTCATACTCTTTAAACTTGTTAAATAACTTATAGGAAAAGGTTTACATAACTATGTGGTCTGGTGGAAAAAAGTGATTTGTGTGAAATATGTGTGCAAATTAAATTTGCAAAATGAGGAAATATATAGCAGAACACTTTACAGTAAATGAGGAGTCAGGAAATAATACAACATAACATGTTCTTGGAAACATGGCATGCCATTTGAATGAAAGTGACTAAGAAATATATGAAACCAGACTATGACACTATGATTATTACTCTATCCTCGTCCATATCCACAATCTTATTATAACTTACACCATGTAATAGTACAAAGCAACGACTGTTGTTTCAGTGTCGTAGCTTTAGTTTGTATCGGTGTCTGTATCCTGCTCCAAGGCGTCAGGAAGGGGGAGGCATTCTACTTTTTCAGCATCTGTCAGGAGTTCTTTGTAATAGTTGTGATACTCTCTGGGTATAATACCCGACCGACAGAGTGACATGAGATCTTTTTTCTTGGCTGAGGAAATTGCTTGTTTTCCCGAGTACCTTCGGGTCAGAGGTCCACAGATACTCAGAAGTCATCCCCGGTGGCTGCCTGTAGACACTTTCAGTTCTCTGAATGGCTCATTGCTGTGCTCAGTCTTGAAGAAGATGTTTTCTGGGTTGCCTTTAATGTAGCGCATCCAGCACATTGACAACCAGTTCACACGACCACCATCTGTATCAATTTTGGTGTTTTTCAGTCTACCATGGGCATATTTCTTAATGTCCATCACATCGGTGAACTGTATTGGGACGACAATATAACGGTCCTTTCTGCTGGCCATTCTTATAACAGTGTCCCACTGGCTTGGTACATAGACACTAGTCTTATTATTGGCAAATTCAATGGTGGAATGAATTGCATCGCACTCCATCTGTGTGTGGCCTGGCTCTAGAAATTTGTGGTCAATTGTACTGATGTGTTCAATAGTGGTCACAACATGTAATAGGGAGGCTGCGACATACTGGTTTCTGTTCTGTCCTGAACAGGTATCTGAATACAGAACTACATGCTTGATGGTTGGTGGCAAAGCCTTCAGCTGAATTTGCAGGCATGATGCAACTTCACATGATCCCCTCTTGGCATCCACTTCCGACCATACAAAGCATGTGCTTGCTCCTTTGTGGCTAAATCGTACACTTTGTAATTGTAACAGTTCACTTTCCTCATGTAGCAAAGTTCACTGACAAGTGAGCATGTGTATGCATGGAGTAAAAACTCTTGAGTCTGATGAATCGAGTGCGGTTTTATCTGGATCATATTCTTCACCTGGCGACAATGCTGGATCGTTGTCAGGGACCAGTCCTTTTCCCTCTCCTTAGTGTTGACAATAGTTCATTATCTGAACTGTCAAAGTCAATCCTCACTATCCCTCAGAGATGATGTTCCTCCGCGCCCATAACACTGTACTAATAAATCTGTAGCGTATCACTCTGTGCGCTGGTATGTCTATAGGCGCATCAGTATGTACTGGTATGTCTACGGGCATATGACTCTGTGCTGGTATGTCTATAGGCGCATGAGACTGTACTGGTATGTCTATAGGTGCATCTGTCTGTTCAGGTATGTCGATAGGCGCACCAGTCTGAGCCCTCTTGGTATATATATATATATATATATATATATATATATAATTATATATATAGGCGCATCACTCTGTTCTGGTTTGTCTATAGGCGCATAAGTCTGTACTGGTATGTCTATATGTGCATCACCCTGTACTTGTATGTCTATAGGTGCATCATTCTGTTCTCGCATGTCTTTAGGCGAATCAGACTGCACTTTTATGTCTATAGGGGCGTCACTCTGTCCTGGTATGTCTATAGGTGCATCACTCTGTCCTGGTATGTCTATAGGCGCATCACCCTGTACTTGTATGTCTATAGGTGCATCATTCTGTTCTGGTATGTCTATAGGTGCATCACCCTGTACTTGTATGTCTATAGGGGCATCATTCTGTTCTGGTATGTCTATAGGTGCATCACCCTGTACTTGTATGTCTATAGGTGCATCACTCTGTGCTGGTATGTCTATAGGTGCATCACCCTGTACTCGTGTGTCTATAGGTGCATCATTATGTTCTGGTATGTCTATATGTGCATCACTCTTTACTATTGTGTCTGTAGTATCATCACTCTGTACTGGTATGTCTGCAGGCGCATAACTCTGTACTGTATTGCACACTGTTGTGGTAAATACCTGGACGTAGTATCTATTTTCCCTTATAAATCAAGAGGCACATCACGCTGTATTGATACAATCTGCGTTTGATTATCCTCAGTGGTATGACCCGGTGCTGGTATAGCCACTGACTCATCCTCTTCATCATTTGCGTCATACTGTATTGGTATATCCGATAGTTTATCAGGTTGTGCTGGTATTGTCCAGCCACTCCTCATGGGTTTGGTTCATGTTGAATATAATCAGAATTGACTGACATATTAGTGGCAAGTGACCAACCTGTGGATGTGGCAAAAGTCAGATTGTAATAATTCATCTTCATCTGCGTCGGACCATAATTCAGACATCTTGCAGGCGATCTTAAAACCAGACTTACTAAACTAAGGGACTGACTAATATCACACACTGGTTGATAACACTAACACTCAATAATCAAAGCAATTTAGTTTCAATTTTTAGTTGGGTGCTGGCAAATAACTTTTTATGCAGACAGGTAAACCTCGTAAGTGAAATACAAATTATATTACTACACTCATGTTTTGTAATATTTAACAAGTACTTATTTTCTATTTACAGATATGACTTAACTGCTTAATGTCTTAGTGGGGTTTTCCATTGTAAATGTTCCTAATATAAACGCAACACTTTAGAAAATAGCTCCTCTCCCAAGGTTCAAAATAAACTAACCTTGGCTAGTGTGGAACAAACCCCTGTAAATAGCTGGGAGGCACGCTTATATATGGCCACAACAGAATAACAGTAATTAAGACCATCTGATCCCGGAGAGAGAGGTCCTTATCAGCTGTAAGTTCTAAAGAGCCCGGACAATTCTTCAGCATATCAGTTGTTTTAACCGGTAAGGGAAATTCTTGATGGACACCCCAGAGTCTGCCAGAGGCGACTGCTGCCAGTTAAGGGTTTATGGCATGAGAATATCAAGCGTGGTTACAGCAGTTGAGCAGGACTGAACGGTGTATATTAACATAGAATAACCTGGTCTATACCAAAAGGAGAGATAATTGATAAGTTGTTTGAACTCTAATGCATAACCACCTAATTAAGCCCCTGATTGCTATGGGCTTTTTTATGAGTAACAAATCAGTATGTGAGTGCATCAATACCCTTACCTAAATTTGACAGAATTATTTACTTAAGGTGTTCTGGCACTAACCCCTCGAATTGTTTTTCGAAATGGGACAGATACAATAGGAAAATGAGCAGGTAATGCTGTTTTATGGTCAATAATGTAGTTAAATTCATACTAGAGTTACCTACCTTGGACGTCATGCAGCAGTGTCAAAAGAATCCCCAAAGAGAAGCCTATGTGAATCAGTTTCTTCATAGCGTTTCCCTGGTTCCTGTCCAAACAATGAAGAGGTCAGGTGCCAACTGAGATGCCTTCAGATGTCTGAGAATCAATCCACGTCAGAAGTGTCAACCAAACAGAGAGAGCGCATATAGCTTGTAATCCTGCCCAGTTATGTACGATATGACATCCTTCGTGTAGCAAGAAAACGGTTGGTTCGTTTTAGTTGTAAGGATATTATAAAAATTGCGGTCGGTGCTGAAAATGGGATGTGTGTCATTGTTTACATTTCGCCCAAACAACGACAACCTTCGTATCTCGAAACTACCAAACCGAAACATGAATCTTATTAACCTATTCACCTGCTTTTCCGCCGATTTTCCGCTTTCTCGTGTGAAAGTGAAGATATACATCACAAACAACTATGGTTTCACTGAATTCCAATTCCTTGTTTCAAAAGGAAATGGTAATAACTATTTACAAACGAATTTTCATTTTAAACTTGAATAACATCGTATTTCTATATTTTATGGCGAGGTGTAGGCAGCATGACGTCACAGACTGTCCCAGTTTCATGAGGTCGTAAAATGATTCACAATGCATCTGGGTCACTGGTTGCACCTGTTATGTGTTTTGTTGCGCTTATTCAGGGTAGTTCTGTAACGCACAATGTGATTGGTATAATATCAAGTCCGTACCAGAACCCAAACTTTTCTAGAGGCAGAGCCTCGTTTTGAATTTCCAGATTGTCAGAGTTCGCTGTACGACAGAGCACGCTGCACGACATGTTTGCAAGGATTAGAAGGAGCGGATTTTTCTGTAGTAAATCTTATGGCGTGTCACCCAGTTGTGAAGGGCCGCCAATGGGCGGACGTTACCGGGGTCATGATCAGTGCCGAAGCGTAGCGCAGCAGGCCCAGGAACCAGGTTGTGAAATTTACAGCTTTCGAATGCTTCTACTATGTATACATGTGTAATGGGGTTTGGGGTTCTGCCTTAAAGAACACCACAGGGCTACAGGGTGTGAGCTGAGGGCACACCTGCTAGTCAGGACGGATCAACAATGTCCTCCTTATACGTAAAACCCTCGGAATTACACAGAGGTAGGCCTGTAGCGATGCAATTAATCGATGGTAGAAACGAAAAACTATAGACGCATCGATAGTATGACTATCGATAGTGTAGTAATTGACTTCTGTTGATAAATGCGCAGCGCAAAATACAGGAAGTACCAGATTCGCTCACTTTGATTTACTTGATTTGGGTTTCAAGTTTCTTGTCAGTTATTAAAAGAGACTGAAACTACTTCAGCTTGTTTTTATTTCATATAATCTTTACATTCATTGGGAAATGGCTTCAAATGATACAATTCAACGAGAAAAAAAAGTATTGCAATAGTTGGTCGCAATAGACTATCGCTAGGCAGTAGTCTGTTGCAATAAACTATCGCTATCGCAATAGTTGTTTCCCCCTCAATAGTCAGCCCTACACAGAGGTGAGTTGGTATCTAGATATCTTTAACGATTCCTAATGTACAGTGGTGCTGCTTACTGTTCAAGACGTTGGAGTGACTAAATTAGCAGGGGCTCCTTTCACGAAGGAACCTTTACCAAGGTTAACCTTAACTCCCATGGTTTAACCTTAACTCCCATGCTTTAACCTTAACTCCCATGTTTTAACCTTAACTCCCATGCTTTAACCTTAACTCCCATGCTTTAACCTTAACTCCCATGCTTTAACCTTAACTCCCATGGTTTAACCTTAACTCCCATGGTTTAACCTTAACTCCCATGGTTTAACCTTAACTCCCATGTTTTAACCTTAACTCCCATGTTTTAACCTTAACTCCCATGCTTTAACCTTAACTCCCATGCTTTAACCTTAACTCCCATGCTTTAACCTTAACTCCCATGGTTTAACCTTAACTCCCATGGTTTTAACCTTAACTCCCATGCTTTTAACCTTAACTCCCATGCTTTAACCTTAACTCCCATGCTTTAACCTTAACTCCCATGCTTTTAACCTTAACTCCCATGGTTTAACCTTAACTCCCATGGTTAACCTTAACTCCCATGCTTTAACCTTAACTCCCATGGTTTAACCTTAACTCCCATGGTTTAACCTTAACTCCCATGCTTTAACCTTAACTCCCATGCTTTAACCTTAACTCCCATGGTTTAACCTTAACTCCCATGCTTTAACCTGAACTCCCATGGTTTAACCTTAACTCCCATGGTTTAACCTTAACTCCCATGGTTTAACCTTAACTCCCATGGTTTAACCTTAATTCCCATGCTTTAACCTTAACTCCCATGGTTTAACCTGAACTCCCATGGTTTAACCTTAACTCCCATGGTTTAACCTTAACTCCCATGGTTTAACCTTAATTCCCATGCTTTAACCTTAACTCTCCCATGGTTTAACCTTAACTCCATGGTTTAACCTTAACTCCCATGGTTTAACCTTAACTCCCATGTTTTAACCTTAACTCCCATGGTTTAACCTTAACTCCCATGGTTTAACCTTAATTCCCATGCTTTAACCTTAACTCCCATGGTTTAACCTGAACCCCCATGGTTTAACCTTAACTCCCATGGTTTAACCTTAACTCCCATGGTTTAACCTTAATTCCCATGCTTTAACCTTAACTCCCATGGTTTAACCTTAACTCCATGGTTTAACCTTAACTCCCATGGTTTAACCTTAACTCCCATGGTTTAACCTTAACTCCCATGTTTTAACCTTAACTCCATGGTTTTAACCTTAACTCCCATGTTTTAACCTTAACTCTCCCATGGTTTAACCTTAACTCCCATGGTTTAACCTTAATTCCCATGCTTTAACCTTAACTCCCATGCTTTAACCTTAACTCCCATGGTTTAACCTTAACTCCCATGGTTTAACCTTAACTCCCATGGTTTAACCTTAACTCCCATGGTTTAACCTTAACTCCCATGGTTTAACCTTAACTCCCATGGTTTAACCTTAACTCCCATGGTTTAACCTTAATTCCCATGCTTTAACCTTAACTCTCATGGTTTAACCTTAACTCCCATGGTTTAACCTTAACTCCCATGGTTTAACCTTAACTCCCATGGTTTAACCTTAACTCCCATGGTTTAACCTTAATTCCCATGCTTACGATCACCTTAGTGCCTTGTGAACAACTAAGTGTAAACTGTGTGATAATTACGTAAGGTAGACAAAAGACTGAGGCAAGTCAGGGCTTTGGCTATTGTAAGGTTGGTGTTCATGCATTGATTGATATGCTTTGCTGGAGCGTGCTTCAGCTGTATTGTAAGATGGGGCCACTATATCTAAGTGTGCTAAAGTAACCATATTTAAAGGAGTGTATTATGCACATAACACAAGTACATCTGCAACTAGCAGGACCAACTGGGATAGAATGTAAGACTAACAAACAAAAATAAAACACTGCCACACATGGATGGCAATCGTTTAGTCCGTGAAGGAAAATTCCATTGCGATTGACATAAGTAATCGCGTTAATCTATCTTTTTTTGACAGGTCGCCATTTCCATTTATCCACGTAGTTCTTGTCCTGGGCCCAGATAGCTTAGCTAAAGGTTATCGTAAGGAAATCTGGGAATATAACGATGAAACACACTCTCGCACATGTAGGAATACACGATACGTGCCAGTGTTATTTCTCTTGTGTGAGGGCGGTGGGGTAGCCTCGTGGTTAAAGCGTTCGCTCGTCATGCCGAAGGCCCGGGTTCGACTCCCCACATGGGTACAATGTGTGAAGCCCATCTGTGTCCCCCGTTGTGATATTGCTGGAATATTGCTAAAAGCGGCGTAAAACCAAACTTCCTCACACTCACTCACTCTCTTGTGCGGTGTGAAGCCCGTCATGGTGTCCCCCGTCATGATTTTGTATATCATTGGGATATGGCTAAACGCATAAAACCAAACTCACTCACTCACTCACTCTCTTGAGTGGCTCTCATATACTTCAAGGGTTTAAAGCCACAAACTATCTTCAAAAGTTGTTTTACGTTCTGGATGCTCAAACAACCTTATTCTATGTTGCAAAAAACAGTATCACTACGAATGTTTAATGATCTGGCATAGTGCCCTAAGCCGCTTTACTTGACATGTGTTTTTTTAGAATAGTTTATTCGCTGCAATCTGAAACAATACCATACGCAATATCAGTTGACTGATATACCTATGCAACTTAGACGAGTTAGAGTCGAAGTCCATGTTGAGAGAGAGAAACAATCAGTTAAAGAGTATCGGAGAGAGAGCTTACATCTACAGCTAAAACCCGAGATGTTTGACAACACAGAGAGATGAGAGAGAGAGAGAGACACAGAGAGAGAGAGAGAGACAGAGAGAGAGAGAGAGAGAGAGAGACAGAGAGAGAGAGAGAGAGAGAGCGAGAGAGAGAGAGAGAGAGAGAGAGAGAGAGAGAGAGAGGGGAAGAGAGGAGGGAGGGGGCGGTTACTACATATATAACAAAGAAATTTCTGAAGAAAAAAAATAATTACACGACACGAATCTTTATTTATTATTTATCTACACACACACACACACACACGAGGGAGAGAGAGACACACATACATACATACACACACACACA